GGTCAAATGGGAAAAAAAAGGGTGATGTTGAGAAAGGCAAGAAGATTTTGTTCAGAAGTGTGCGCAGAGGCCAGCAAGTGGTGTGGTGGTTAAAGGTGCTGTATTCCCACGTGACAGACTGTGATTCGAGTCCTGGACATGGCGGTCTGCTTTCTCACTTTGTTTTTCTCTCCGTTGAAATTAAAAAATAATAATAGATGAAATTAAATAAATTATTAAAAAAAAAAAGAAGTACTGTGCCCAGTACCACACCATGGAAAAGGGAGGCGAGCACAAGACTAGCCCAAATCTCTATGGTGTGGCTGGGTGGACAATAGGTCAGGCCTCTGGATTCTCTTCACAGAAGCCAACAAGAACAAAGACACCACCTGGGCAGAGGGCACACTGATGGAGTACATGGAAAATCTCAGCAAGTACACCCCTGGAACAAATATGATCTTCACTGGCATTAAAAAGAAGTCAGAAAGAGCAGAGTTGATAAATTATCTCAAAAAAGCTACTAATGAGGGGCCAGCAGGTGGTGTGGTGATTAAGGGTGCTAGACTCCCAACTGGCTGACCATAGTTCAAGTCCTGGTCCTGGCGGCTTGCTTTCTTGCTTTCCCTTTCTCTCTCTCTCTGTCTCTCTCCAGTCAAACTGAAAAATAATATTACCATATGAGTAAATAATTCTTTAAAAAAAAAAAAAAAGCTACTAATGAGTAATTGATGGCCACTGCCTTAGTTATGACCAAACAAAAATGTCTCACCTTTTTGATGTAAACCATATTTTAACTGATCTCCTACACCAAAACTCAGATTATAAACAGCTGACAAGATATTTTTTTTTAATTATTTAACTTTACTTATTATTATTATCGTTATTATTTTCCAGTTTGATCAGAGAGAGAAAGTGAGAAAGCAAGCCACCAGGTCCAAGACTTGAACTGTGGTCAGCCATGTGGGAGTCCAGCGCCTTTAACAACCATACCTCTTGCTGGTCCCGGCTGACAAGATATTTTTGTTGGACAGTTATGATTTAAGTAAAACTGGCTTGTGGTTAAATGAGGATTGTTGGGTTTTTAATTTTTTTTTTTTTAAGATTTTCTCTTCTTATTTTATTCATTGTCATTATTTTCTTTTTCTTTTTTCTTTTTTGACATTGACCAGAGACAGAGAGAGAAAAGGAAAGTGAGAAAGCAAGTCGCTAGATCAAGGACTTGAACCATGGTCAGCCATGTGGGAATCCAGCTGCCCTAACCACCATGCCACCTGCCAGCCTGGGTTTTTAAAATTTTAACAATAATTTCAGTTCAGTAAACGCTATCACTATTTGTCCTTTCTAAAGATATAAAATTAGTAATTCCTCAGTAATGCTCATCTTCCTACAAAAATGGTGAATGCCATCTCAAACCCTACTTACTGTAGACTGTTTTTTTATGTAGGCTTATATGTAACTGATTATACGAATATATAAATGCTGGAGAAACCCCTTCACATCTCAAAACCAAGCAGACTCACCTATGTTTTCATTTGTGTTCCTTAACTTGTTAAAAGTAAAAGCTGAAGATAAGGTAGAGACGTCTACTTTACATATGTGGTTGTAACTATGCCAATCTAATTAGAATCCTCTATATCCAAAACACTGTCTTTTATTGGAAGACATTTTAGTGTGGTTTGTGTATACTATCAAAGAATATACAACAGTTCACATATTTTATAAATGATTTATAAGGTCAGATACTTTAGAAAGTCAACGTGACAAGATTTAGTAGCAAGTTAGATTTTACATGTGAATTTTTTTTTTTTTTTTTTAAGGGCCGATTTAGTAGCAAGTTAGATTTTACATGTGAAATTTTTTTTTTTTTTTTAAGGGCCGATAGGTGGCACGGTGGTTAAGGGTGCTGGACTCACATGGTTGACTGCAGTTCAAGTCCCAGACCTGGCAGCTTGTTTTCTCACTTTCCTCCTCTGTCTCACTCTGTCCCTCTCTGGTCAAATTAAAATAAGTAAGTAAATAAAGTTACAAATAAGTTTTAATTTTTTTTTTTAGTTTTATTATCATTATTCTTCAATTTTGACCAGAGAGAAACAGGGAAAAGGGGAGAATGAGTAAGCAAGCCACTAAGTTCGCAACTTGAACAGTGGTCAGCTATGTGGGAATCCAGCACCTGGATCACACCACCTGCTGGCCCCTACATTTGAACTCTAATATCTAAGTCATACTAAGTTATATTTCTGGACTGTCTTTAGGCAATTGTTCAAAAATGCATAGAAGCTGAAGAACAACTGTATGTGGGTGATTGGTAATGGTGCATTTAACAGTTTATTAGAAGGATTAAAGTAGAGGAGATCCACTATCAGCATAGCTTTGTAAATTATATCATCATAAGACATAAGATAAATTAAAAATCAAATGACAGGTCAAAAAAAACTTTTATTGTAAAGTATGTATATAACTTGTTAGGTTATTTCCTAAAATAAAACAAAGAACATCATTACTGAAACACGTATTTACTTAACACTGTAATAATTCCACAGTACCCAACTGCACTATTAGAAATGAGAACTTTAACAGGGGTAAAGAGGAAAAGGGTCCAGTCAGGTGGAATGGTGGTTAAGGTAGATGGATCCTAAATAGTAAACTGGGCTTGAATCCCAGACCTAGGGATTTAAAAAACACACCAAGAGTGTGTGTATGCCCAAAATCCCAAGAGGAGAACAGAACAGGGATTGTGGCATCACCATGCTCCCTAAAGGATGATTTTTCATGTTCCCTTTCTCTCTTTCTCTCTCCAGTGAATGCAAATGCCCTATAGCAAAACTTTAAAAAAAAGAAAGAAAGAAAGAAGAGAAAGGAAGGGAAGGGAGAAAGAACAGGCTTAAAGCACATCAGTAAACAACAGGCAACTTTGCTAAAAGGTGATATTTACAGTTATCAATCTAATCTATAGTAAAAGTCCTGCTTGTTGGCTTTGTAGCAGACAGACAGACAGACGCACATACCCTACAAACATGCAATACTGGAAAATATGTATTTTTTGTTTTTAGAGAGATTTTTGCTATGTCCAGTACGTTTACTGAAGAAACAGAGAGACAGAAAGCAAGAAATCACCCCGAGGGAGGATGGCCACGCCGCAATCTCTCCTCCTCCATTCTCCTCTTACGATTTTGGGCACGCACACACAGGTGCCCAGTATGAGTTTAGGCCGCTGGGTCTCGAACCGTGGTCAACTACGTGGGAGTCCAGCAACATAACCATTATGCCATCTGCTGGTCCCAGAAAATAAGTATTTAAAAATATAACCCATAAAAGGATAAAACTGCTTAAATGTTTGTCACCTGATGAATGGATACATCCAGGTGGCATACTGGTACAATAGATGACTGCGCAGCAATAAGAATAATGTACTGATACTTGCTACAATGTGGATGAACCTTGAAAATATTATGTATGTAAAAGAAGTCAGATACCACAGGTCCCATATTATATGATGCATCTATAAGAAATGTCCAAAACAAGCAAACTCATACAGACAGGTAATAGATTAGAGGTTGCCAGGGGCCAAGGAAAGGAAGGAATGAAGAGGGACTACTAACATGCACAGGGCGTTTTGGTATAGGGTAATGCAAATGTTTTAGAATAGTGCTGAGGGTGGGGCTGGCAGGTGCCACGCTGGTTGAGGTGCTGGACACTCACAATCTCGACCATGGTTCAAGTCCTGAACCTGGTGGCTTGCTTTCTCATTCATTCTCTCTCTCTCTCTCTCTTCAAATTTAAAAGTAATAATGATGATGATAAATAAAACTAAACAATTCTTTAAAAAGAAATAGTGGTGAGAATTATATACATAAGGAAAATATTTTAAGATCACTGAAATGTACATTACAAAAATGGTGGATTTTAAGATACATGGATTTAAAAAAAAAAGGGGGGGGGACCAGCAGTTAGCATAATGGCTATGTCACTGGACTCCCACATAGTAAACCACAGTTCACATCCTGGACCTGGTGTCTTAAAACTCACACCGGGCGCGTGTGCGTGCGTGCCCAAGATCCCAAGAGGAGAATGGAGGAGAAGGGATTGCGGCGTGACCATCCCCCCGGGGGGTGATTTCTCGCTTTCTGTCTCTATGTCTCTCCCTGTCTGTCTGGCGAGCGCACGCACCCTATACCGAAAAAAAACTCTCCAAAAAAGAAAAAAAAAAAAAAACGATACATGGATTTCAAAATTTTGGCATCAAAATAAATTTTTTAATCCAAATTTTCCATTTATTTTCTAACACTTTTGTGTTTGTGTGTATAAATATATATATATCTCAATATGCTTTTATTAATATTTTCACTTAAAATAGTAAATAGTCAATTCTAGAGAGGAATAAATAATAATATATGGAAGTCATACTAAATATTCAATAAGTACTAAAGATTATCTTGCTATCAAAGTTTCAAAGAAATTTTTAAATGGCATGTATCATAGTTTCAAAGACAATTTAGAATGTAATAAACATCTTAAAAATCTAAACCTTCTGGGAACCAGCAGTTAGCGTAATGGCTATGTCGCTGGACTCCCACGTAGTCGACCGCAGTTTGCATCCTGGACCCGGTGACTTAAAACTCACGCCGGGCGCATGTGCGTGCGTGCCCAAGATCCTGAGAGGAGAATAGAGGAGAAGGGATTGCGGCATGGCCATCCCCCCCAGGGGGTGATTTCTCACTTTCTGTCTCTATGTCTCTCTCTCTCTGTCTGGCGAGCACACGCGCCCTATAGCGAAAACCTCCCCCCCCAAAAAAATCTAAACCTTCTACAATTATTCTAATAAATACTAGTGCTGAAACTAAATTAACTATCTGATGTTTTATTTGAGTAACTTAACCAATGGAGAACCATTTTAGCCTAAAGGAAGGGAAGGAACCAGCAGGTGATGTTGTAGTTAAGGGCACTAGATTCCCACAAGGCTGACTACAGTTTGAGTCCTAGAACTGGTAGCTTGCTTTCTCACTTTCTCTCTCTTTCTCTCGCTCTGTCCCTCTCTGGTCAAATTTTTAAAATAAAGTTAAATAAAAATAATTCTTTTATAAAGGCAAACCTAAAAAGCTCCCCTTAAAACCTTCTTTCTTGTATAAGGATAAACCAATGACTGTTCTATCATTAAACAAACTCTTACCATAGATTCGAAGGGCAGTGGCTTGTAAACTTTTTAGTAATTCTTTATTTGCTCGTGCTGCAGCAGTGTGAATGATATCAATAAGCTGTGTTGAGAGCTCAGGGTTTCTAGAGCCAAGATGAGCAAGCTGCAATGGTAAACCTGCCAGCCAACGGGATAACACTCTACTACGGTATCTTAGAAAGACCAAGAAGAACAAAATAAAGTTCAATTTTCAAAGACAAGGCAAATAAACAAAAAATTCTTAAATATACCACAAAGTGACTATTTATATACTAATACCACCATATTTATTCATGTAAACACTTGAGTACCTATAAGATGCCAGCCTTATTTATTTGGCAGCTCTACTGCCATGGCTTTACTCATCAACTTAAAAAGTTCTTGTAATCTGAAGCACTACCTAAATTATATTTTTATCTTAAAAAAAAAAGACACTACTCAACTCTTTGTGAACTATTTGTCCTAGTGTTACTATATTATATAAACAAATCGATGCATTCAATATAACTTGCCTCCACACAAAATAGCTTTGAACTTGTGTTATTTTAGTTCTTTAGGATACTTGCCAAAGCTCTAATGGTTCGAGTAATAGAAAATATTTTTGTTGTCCCTTGAAAGCTTAGTAAGTGAGGTGTGGACTTTGCTGTCAGGTAAGAATCTAAGTCTCAGCTCTGCTACACATCAGCTGGATGAGACTTGCCAACTTACTTAACCTAAGCTTCTGTTCATATCTGTAAAATGGGAGGAGCAGTACCTATTTCACAGTAGCAGTATGAGCATTGAAACTAACTTACAAAAAAACTTGACTTAATGTAATTCTAAAATATGTTCCAACAACTACCTACATACATTCAGGTATCCCAGATCTGTATCTTCCAACTAAACCTCTGTTTCCGACTGTCCCAAATAGATCCAAACTCAAAAATATAAAATAATTTTTTAGTTCCACTGTGTGTTGTCTACCTCACCTGACAGCAACAAACTAAGCCAGAAACATTCCCACCTTCTACTGTTCTCACTCTTACCTCAAATGCCCCTACATGTCATTAAGTGCTAGTGATTCAACGTCTATAATTTTTACGGAAAGGAAGAAAAGGTTGAGGCCTGCTACAGGTTATCCCAGTTGATCTTTAGCTATAAGTAAACAAGAGAAAATACATGCCTAACGAGGCCTTAACTTCACATATGGATAAAGTTTACTGGCACTATTATGTATGCTCTTCCATAAAATTTTGGAGTAATGCAAGCAGACAGGATAAAAATAAGCAACCTTTCCCCAAAATTGTATCATTCTATAGACTTCTCTAAATATTTAAAATAGGCTACAAAGTAACTTGGCAAAAGGAAAAATAACAAAACTTTACCTGAATCTGTAAGATTTCAATTCTTCTTTCTGATAGATTTTACTGAAAAACTTCAGTAACAAAGTTCGAACTGGAAGAAGCAGGCCCCTCTGCTGATACAATGTATAAACTGCCTTAATGAGAGTCTCTGTGGCCTCTAAAAACAGAAAGAAAATAACTCCCTGTATAAATCAAAAATGTTTCTTCAACAGTCCCAAAGTCTTCTAAATGCATAGAAGTACTTCTCTTTGTCCTTACAGCAAAGCTGATCTTATCTGCAAACTGATGACTACCACACTTACAGCAAGTGGCATGACTAAGACAAAAATCAACCATAAATTACAGTATACATTTTCTTAAGGGACAAATCTAGGGATGACAAAAACCAGGATTATTAGAAAAGTTAATTAGATGGGCTCCAAATAGAAGAGTTTTGTTTTTAAAAGAAAAGAATTAGTCACTCTAAAAACTCTTACTAAAGGTAACTTAAACTTTAACTTGGAAGCAGGATTAAGAGGCAGGATCCATTCTATATGGATAAAACAAACAAAAACACACACTCTCAATTTCTAGTCCAACTAGACTAGAAAGTGATGGAAATATATTGATTTGCATGAGTTTATCTAACCACCAACAAAGAGAAACTCTGTACCAAAACTGTTGCAATGTCCAAGCTAATAGGGCTTTACAAACTATCAAGCTAGGAACCTTTTATGGCTTAAAAGTAATTTACTGGGCTACATGGAATGTTTAGAAACATTATTTCAAAGTTAGACCCTAAACAACATAAGTAAGAGCATCTCTCAGAAAGGACTAAGCAGCACTGCCTACTATAGTACCTACCTCTATTTGGCTGTATCTGCATCAGCCTCCAGGATACACCCAGCAATCTGTTCAGCTGCTTACTATTCAGCCTAGAGCCATCTTCAAGGGTCTTGGTAACAAATTTCCTTATCATTTCTATCCAACCGGAATCTTTCTGCAAAGTTGAGGCATTTGCCAGGGAGACCATGATATCAGAGAGTGTTAAATTCAGTAAGAGATGATCTATGTTATTGGAGAGAATCGTGCAATGCTTGATGCTAAAAACAAACAAACACACATATATCTATAAAGTGTCTATCATGTTTGCTTTGCTTAGAATTCTTCAAAACAATCTATGGATGGACTTTTAAATAAATTCCTTCTAGAACTAATAAACTGCCAAGAAGACAGATATGTAAGCCAAGTTTTAGGCCACAGTTTTTAGTAAATAAACCATTTATTATGAAATCAGGGTGGTTAAGAAAGCACTACTACACAGTCATAGGAAAGTCCTGGGTTCAGAGAATCAGTGTGGTGAAATCCTGTCAAAGATACCTGTCCTTGTCCATGTTCTCTCTCTCTTTCAATAAATACATCATGGATACTCATGTTGCTCTACATACTCATGGAGGTCTCAAGAAACAAATCCAGAACCTCCCCATTGGGGTCAGCATCATAGGGTGTTACATTTTGCTAAACCACCATCCAGGCCCAGATGGCTCTGCTTCTAATTAGCCATCTTACTTATTAAAACAATCACTTATTTCTCCTGGCCACAATTTCTTCAAGTATAAAATAAGGATACTTATCTAGGTAAGCAGAGGTCTGAAAGAGCATAATTTTCCCAAAGAATTATTTTATTTAGCTTTATTTATTTACTTACTTATTTTAATTTTACAAGAGAGGAACAGAGAGAAAGAGAGAAGAAAAGTGAGAAAGCAAGCTGCCAGGTCTGGGACTCGAACCGCAGTCAGTCATATGCGAGTCCAGAGCCCTTAACCTCCACACCACCTGCTGGCCCCTGAAACAGCTCAATTTCTTGAATCACTTTATTTTAGCCAAACAAAACACATTTCTTTCTAAACATGAGAGAAGATTTTGAAACATCCAATAGAGTATTTTAATAAAAATAAAATTTGCAACTTAGAACACACTCATTTCAGACTATGGTACATTCCACAGCAGAACCTGTTTCTTCCAGGTTTAGAATAATGTAAAGATGGCCAAAATCACTAGTAGCTCCAACTAATCAATATTAAATGACAGAGCAGTGAGTAACCAAAAAATACACGAGAAAGGAAATAAAATGCAAGGCTAGATATGACAAATGAGCCTGGAAAGGTGAAGCAGGACCAGATTATAGAGTCAAAGACCAAGAATACCAAAATTAGTAGGTAAAAAAGGAATAACGTGGTTGTGAACTTCTTTCAGATGAATGATTCTGTGGACTTAAAAGGAAAAATGAGAGTTACAGACTATAAACAAAGCAGCAGTTGTATAGCTAGGTGGCAATCTGCACAAGAGATAGAAAGCACAAGAAACAGAGTCAAGGAACCAGCAGTTAGCATAATGGCTATGTCGCTGGACTCCCACGTAGTCGACCGTGGTTCAAGTCCCAGATCCGGTGGCTTAAATTCATGTCGGGGGCGTGTGTGTGTGTGCCCAAGATCCCGAGAGGAGAATGAAGAGAAGAGATTGTGGTGTGGCCATCTCCCCTGGAGGGTGATTTCTCGCTTTCTATCTGTCTCTCTCTGTCTTTCTGGCGAGCGCTTGCGCCCTATAGCAAAAACCTATCCAAAAAAAAAAAAAAGAGAGAGAGAGAGAAAGAAACGGAGTCATGGGACCAGCAGATGGCAAAATGGTTTCATCGCTGGGACTCCCATATCACAGTCTGAGCCTGTGGTTCGAGTCCAGGCCTTAGCAGCTGAAAACCTACACCAGGCTCCTTCCAGAACCAAAACCCTAGACAGAAACCACCTACATCTGAGTCCTGTCCCTTTCAGGGACTAGCGTACCTACAGACCCTCTGCTCCAAGCCTCTCTTTTCAGATCCAAAAATCTATACAGTTAAGGCGATGTCTTCTGTCTCTCTTTAAATTTTTGTTTTCAATTTTTAAGTACTTTTTCTTGCCTCCTTTATATCTTGCTCATTTCAGAACCCATCTACATCTGAACTGTGCCTTGTCCCTTTGGTGCAGTTTTTTTTGTTGTTGTTTGTTTTTAATCCCTCCCTTTTAGGTTATTTTTGACTTTTTTTTCCTTTTCCCCTTTTATTTTCTTTTCCTTTACCTTACTTTCTCACTGTTTCTCAGCCTCCACACACTGAGTATTTAGACAGTCTTAGGTGCACAGTAGCCAAATGTCGGAATACTTTTAGGGTCATAGAGATCTTCAACCCCCACTGAAGCTGCTGCACAAAGGGAGAAACTCCTCTTTGCAAATCTAAACTCAAACCTCTTTACGTGTATACCACATTGCAAAACACAGCAAAGAGGGATTAACACAGATGTACCTCACAGTAAAGGGAAACACACAAGCTTACAGTTGCAGACACCTTCTCCAACTAATTAGCCAGAAGTGAATACACCACCAAATGTCTAAAAATCAAAGGACTCAAGCCACATTTGGCCAGGTGAGAGTCCAGCTCCCTAACAACCTGCTACCTGCTCGCCCCAAATTAATCATTTTTAAAAATAATTTTTAAATGATATTTTATCATTGGTAACAAATGTCAGTTGTCTTCCTGGATTGATAGGTTCACCCAGTTCATTTTTATGAAAATGTCTACCAAATACCCAAGACTAAATAACTATTGTTAGTACAGTCATTTTTTCCAAGTTAAAATCAATTCGATTCCAGGAAAATATGTGCAAACTGAACAATCACACAAGGCTACATAACCATAGTTTTTTCATATGCAGCAAAACATTTTATGTATACTTTCCAAAGGATGGGTTTTCAAGGGTCATGACTTAAAATTAGTAATTTTGGGTCCAGCAAGTGGTATGATGGTTGGTGCTCTGTACTCCCACATAGTTAACTGCAGTTCAAGTCCCAAACCTAGCAGCTTTCTCTCTCTCTCCCTCTGTCTCTGATTGAGTACATGTACCCTATAGCAAAATGGAAAATAATAAAACTAAATAAACGACTTTTAAAAAACTTATTAATTTGGGGGTCAGTAGGTAGCAAGGTTGTTAAGGAGCTGGACTCCCACCTGGCCAAACGTGGTTCAAGTCCTGGACCTGGTGGCTTACTTTCTTACTTTCCTTCACCCTCTCTCTGTGGTGAAAACTGTCATGTCTAATAGTGCAATTTGGTGCCACTGTCTTATTTGATGCTAAGATACCAACAATTTTACACACCATTCCTTTTGTATCATTAGTGCAAAATCAAAACAATGAAAAAGCAAATAATGTCTCGATGTAATTATAGAAATAATCATTACCTGGCAAACCTTAAGGGTCAAAAACACACTGCTCCCGGGAACCAGCAGTTAATTAGCATAATAGCTATGTCGCTGGATTCCCACGTAGTCGACCGCAGTTCGCGTCTCGGACCTGGTGGCTTAAAACTCACACCGGGCGCGTGTGTGTGCGTGCGTGCCCAAGATCCCAAGAGGAGAATGGAGAAGGGATTGTGGCGTGACCATCCCCCGTGGGGGGTGATTTCTCGCTTTCTGTCTCTGTCTCTCTCTGTCTGTCTGGCGAGCGCACGCGCCCTATAGCGAAAATCTCTCCGAAAAACAAAAAAAACACTGCTCCCTTAGATAAATGGTCTAAGAGTAAACTAGCTAACTGTAATAAATGATCTCACAAAAACAATAATCTGCTTAAAGAAAATCAAATTAAGGGGCCAGCAGGTGGCATGGTAGTTAAGGCACTAGACTCCCACATGGCAGACTGAGGTTCAGGTCCCGGGCCTGGCAACTTGCTTTCTCACTTTCTCTCTCCCTCCCTCTCCTTCCCTCTATCTCTAATCAATTTAAAAAAAAAAAAAGTAAAACTAAATAATCTTTTTATTAAAAATCCAATTAAGAGTGTAGGAAAGGAAATTTGGGGAAAAAAATAGGTAAGACGCGTGGGACACAGGTATGGTTTATTATCTGTTGATGAGGACATGTATAGTATTCTGAAATGGGCTGGACTGAGATATATATCATGCTGGGTAAAGTCTCTTTACAATCTAAATGATGTATAGCGATTTAAATGTATAAATCATAAAAAAGTAAATAAAGCATTAAAAATCCAATTAAGTTCTTACTCCAGCCTAATTGGTTCTGTTCTTTTATCATAAGGTTCTCCCAAAGTAATAATCCTTAAGGACTTCACTGTCAAGTATTTAAACTATCAATAATTAGGAAAAATTTCCGTAACAATACATCCAACAAATCTTTTTACTATGGAGTACTTTTTTATTCTATTCCAGATGCTCTTTTCTTTTAGCCTTTACAGATATTTCTCTTCAATGTAATGATAAGAAAGCCAAGGTTTCTGCTAGGTGAAAATGCAAGTCAGTTTCCTTTTTTATTTTAGTCTCCTTAAGTATTTAATCTCTGTAGCATTATGTTTCTCTGGGGCCTATTCTATCACCACAGCCCTTACAAACATCGGCATCAGCTACCTAGAACACCCATTTTGCAGAGTCCTCGGTCCTGTAAGCTGAGCAGTATCTGCTTTTCAGAATTTTAGCTCTCTTCCTCCAAGCTTCGTCCTTTCTATTCTATGTTCTTCCTTTTCTCGAGATAGAAATTTCTTAACATTCTGGTTTTTTTTTTTTTTTACAATGCCTAGTTAACAATTCTTCATATGAAATGCTGTTAAATATCATGGTTGTGCTTTCTGTCTCCTTACTGGACAGTGACACACACAAGTTAGAATGAAATGGCTTAGGAGAACAAGGGCTATAGGTTAACACATCTGAGTCTATTCATTACACTATGCTCATTGTAAGAAATCAAAACAAATTCAGTGAATGAATAAAACCAACTTCTACAAGTGCAATAGCCTTATCACTCCTAAGCATATCTTCTGAGTGCTGCTCAAAGAATCTGAATGATTCTTTTGCTAGGATGTTCCCTTTGATACATTTAAGAATCTTGTGACAGACTAAGATTTCTTGCAAGTTGTCTGCTCATTTGGTTTGCTATCATAGCTTGTACCTGCCTGTCAAATTTTAATATATTACTTGTTCTCACATTTATTTTTTCTCACTCTAAGTAAACATTTTCATATAATTTCCAGGCTTGTATTTTTTTTTTTTTTTGGGAGAGGTTTTTGCTATAGGGCGCGTGCACTCACCAGACACAGAGAGAGAGATAGAAAGTGAGAAATCACCCCCCCAGAGGGAATGGCCACGCCACAATCCCTTCTCCTCCATTCTCTTGGGATCTTGGGCGCGCACGCACACGCGCCCGGCCTGAGTTTAAGCCACCAGGTCGGGGACTCGAACCACGGTTGACTATGTGGGAGTCCAGTGACATAGCCATTACACTAACTGCTGGTCCTGAGGCCTGTATTTTTCAATTCCATCTTCTAATTTATTACTGTTTCTACCTTATTCTTCTCTATCCCTCTTCCTTCAAGATACCAGTATTAGTTTTATTATCAGTTTCTTCATGTATGAGAGCACAACTAGATGACCTTCAACATACCCTCTCACTTAGAAATTCATTACAGGGACCAGCAGATGATGTAATGGTTATGTCGCTGGACTCCCACACAGCTGACTGCAGTTCAAGTCCTGGACCTATAGGCTTAAAACACACATGCCAGGTGTGTGTGTGTGTGTGTGTGTGTGTGTGTCCAAAATCCCAAGAGGAGAATAGAGAAGGGACTGCGGCAAGACCATACCCCCTACCGGGGGCGATTTCTCACTTTCCATCTACCCGGTGAGCACACATGCCCTATAGCGAAAATCTCTTTAAAAAAAAATAAAAAGAAAAGAAAGAAATGTTGTTATAAGATAGGTGGGAAAATTGTGTCTCAAAATCAGGATTTCTAACTCCCAAGCTACATCATCTGCACTGTGCCATGGCTTTAATTAAAATGAATGAATGAATAAATAAATAAATAAATAAATAAATAAATCTTTTTTAAAAAAAGATAATAAGAAAGAAAGAAATTCATTACATAGGGCCTCTTCCAAATAAACCACCACTTCAGCAACACTTAAATTAAATTCATATTAACCACCATGCTGGAATGGTGGTTAAGGGTGCTAGATTCCCACATGGCGGACTGCAGTTCAAGTCCTTGACCTGGCAGCTTGCTTTCTCAGTTTCCCTTTCTCTCTCTGTCTCTCTCTGGTCACATTCAAAAAAAACAACAACAAATAAAATTAAATAAATAAATCTTTTTAAAAATTCATATGTATACAGACCAGCAGATGACGTAATGGTAACGTTGCTGGACTTCTGCGGTTCAAGTCCTGGACCCGGTGGCTTAAAACTCACACCAGGCAAATATGTGTGCATGCCCAAAATACCAGGAAGAGACTGGAGAAGGGATCACCCCCAGGGGTGATTTCTTGTTTATGTCTCTCTTTTCTTCTCCATGACCACACATGCCCTATAGCAAAATATTCCCCCCCAAAAATAAAATCAGATGTATATAATTTAATATACTCATCTAACATAAAACACCCAATTTACAAATGTAACAAAAATTTTAAAACTATTGTTTCCAAGGTACCTGTTCAAGATGAGCCATACTACTACTACTTCTTTTATTTGCATAAAATCTATATATAAACACCTCACAGTATAGAAAGTTGCAGATCAAGGGCTAATTGTTTTCTGATAATTTCTAGGTTAAATAGCTTTTTAAGAGTACACAGGGGAAAATAATCACAATACCTTTTATTCGCCTCTTTCCTTCTGTGCTTGGTTATTTCTTTTAAGGCATATGGAAAACGACTCATAAAATGGTGTTTGAAGTCAATAAGGTAATTCTTTCGAAGCCATGATTCCTATTAAAATAAACAAAGAATCTTCAAGATGAAAATAATGTAAAAAAAAAAACAATAAAACTAAGCAAAAATTTGACAACTTGTCAATATTCAACTATAAAAGTCCTGTTATAATACATCTTCTAGTGACAATATGTAAATTAATTATAAAACAAGAATGAACTGTTAGGGCATCCAATTTTCATCCACAGATCCTTGAATGCCTAAGAATTATTTTCAGTTTTATTTTATCTGCTATTTAAGAGAGAAAAAGGAGAGTAAATGAGATTTAAGAAATCGCAAATTTTAATCATTACTGCAATGTTTGTAAAATACATGAGAAAAGTCTTACTTGGTGTTCTATTTGTACCATTAAGTCTATTCCCCAACCATTCCATTATTTCTCACCAGAAGTATTTAACTATTTCTTTTTCTCTTTTTTTTTTTTTTTTTTTTTTTACTTTTTTTTAAATTTACCAGACTGTGCATGTCATCACCAGACAAAGAGAGCTGAGAATGAAAGCAGCCCCCAACCCAATGAGGGCTAGTAACACAATTCTTTCTCCTCCATTTCTCCATCCTATTGGGATTTTGAGCACACACATGCCTGATGTGTCTCTCGAGCTCCCAGAGCCAAGACTAGAGAACCACAGGGTCAGCCATGTGGGATCTGGCTCCCTTAACCAGTTAAATAGGTCATGAATACAGCCTGGTATATAACAGTTACACAAGACAATACAGTTCCCTAAAATGCTTCAGCAGTATCGTAAATTTGTCATTCCCTCTGACTTGAAATATCTGTCTAGATTAGTTATCCCTCCTACCTTGTTCCTCCCTTTAGCCCTCCTACATAGGATAACCCACCACCACATTCTGCCAGAGCCTGAGGGGTGGGGTTTCCAAGGTCTAGGAACTGAAGGGCTAAAATAACTGGTAACCCTACAGCTCAACTGTTGTTTCTCCTCAATATTTCTGAGGTTATTCTCGTCTTCTTGACCTATAATGTTTGGATTTACCCAGAGAGCAGCAGTCTTTGGAACACTTCTGCCTAAGTTCCGGATTCCACATAAAAGTATATCTAACATCTCTTTAAGAGTTCTAAAAGGATTGGACCAACAGATGGCATAAAGGTTATATCGCTGACCTTGGTTCAAGACCCAGACCCAGCAGCTTGAAGTTCACATCGGGCACATGCACGTGCATGCCCAAGATCCCAAGAGAGTGGAGAAGGGACTGTGGAGTGGCAACCCCTCCAGGGGATGATTTCTCGCTTTCTGTCTCTCTGGAGAGCACACGTGCCCTCCTATAGCAAAAATCTCTCCAATAAAAAAAAAAAATGTTCTGCAAGGCAGCTTGAGGGTGCCAAACACCCACATGGCCAACCATAGTTTGAGTCCTGGACCTGGCAGCTTGCTTTCTTACCTTCTCTCTCTCTCTCTCTCTCTGTCCTCTGGTCAATTTCAAAAAAATAAAACAAAATAATGACAATGAATAAAATAATTCTTTAAAAATAAATAAATAAATATAGTCCAGCACTGAATTTTATATTTTAATTAAGGCCCCACATTTATAGATGCCCTGTAAATCTTTGAATAAATGCTTCAAAACCATGAATGCATCAGTGTTTGACTACAAATTCTAATCCTCATGGGACAAAAATAACAGCAATGAGACAGCACTATGTGAATTACACCTAATTAAAACAAATGGAGGAGCCAGCAGGTGGCCTGGTGGATAAGCCGCTAGACACTCCCACATGGCCAACCAAGGTTCGAATATGATGGTTTGCTTTTGCACTTTCCCCCTCTTTCTCTGTGTCTCTCTGGTCAAATTAAAATAAATGACTGAATAAGTAAAATTAAATAATTTTTTTTTAATGGAAGCAAGCATACTGAGTTATGCCTTTTATTTCAACATTAGGATTTTCACAAATAGTGGGCTGGCAGGTGGTGCTGGTGTGGTTAGGAGCGCTGGACTCCCACATGGCCGACCGTGGCTCGAGTCCAGAGCCTGGCGGTTTGCTTTCTCACTTTCTCTCTCTCTCTCACTCTGACCCTCTCTGGTCAAATTAAAATAAATAAATAATAACAACCTCACAAAACTATTGTAACTTACAGTTTTGTTCAAAAGAAATAAGTTTACAGTTAAACCCTGAGTATTTTTAGGAACTACATAACCAATTAACAGTAATAAGCCGATTTCTAACTTTCCCATTTATGACAAAGGTATTAGTAAGAAAATAAAGAATCCATTAGTTCTCACCAATTTATGAGTTTCATCATGCTGTTTAGAGAGTTTCCACAGGAGAGAAATAATATTAAGAACTTGCTGCATAACCTGTAGAGGTTCTCGTTCTATGCATTTTCCAACAGAAGCAGCTAGTTGTGGAGGCACAGCTTCAATCCAGCATTCAATTAGCAACGGAATTATTATCTCAATAAATCCTTTTAGGTTTTCAGTAGATGATAGGCCATCATCCACATTGCCTAGTCCTCCAACCAGGTACCTAATAAAGAACAGTAAGAATTTAAAAAGAGAAAATTAATGATTAAAAAATTTGTATTATCCCTCATTTAACTTAAATCTTAAAGTGCCAGTAAAGTGAAGCACCAAATACTGACAATTACATTGATCAACGCTAGTAAGAAATATAAAATTCTAAGATGACAAAGCCAACAGAAATTATCAAGTTTTACTTTTCATTAGGCTTTACCAGAAATGAATAAGTTAATATAATATTCTTTCAAACGGCTCCTCCCATCAGTAAATCAAATTAAATCATGAATAACTACATGAAAACTATGAAAGACAACTGCATGTCTTCCCACCATTAGTCATCAATGGTCAGTAGTTATAATTCAATATAGGAAAACTGAGCGTGGACATAACTGAAATCCTTCTTACCGTAGCCTGAACTGTGAACTGACATTTGGCTGTGAACCCCCATTTTCATAAACCTGGATGTGTTGCTGGTCGTTGGCATGTTCCTTCCAGTTGATAAAAATGGAGTTGCTAGTGGCATGGGGATTTTCTTTTTGTTCCTGAAGTCCTTCACTTTCTCTCAACCTACTGGATCCATCTGCCAAGGCCTGAAGGAATTTACTGAGTCTCACTAAGACTTTCAGCCTCCATTGCTGAGAAGTGAGTCTCCGATTAGGATTTACAGAAAGTATCCAAGACTGGGATCTGTCTCTATTTAGCAGTCCTTTGGACAGCTGCTGATGAGAAATAAGTTCTACAAAATTCTTAAGCAATATACTGCTACGGCCAGTAATCAGAGCTGGGTACTGTTCCAGCAAAATGTCCAAAACTTTTAAAGAGTCCTCCTGAATTCCTTCAGTAATGTGAGTCATGGCACTAGAGAGATGGGCACTTACCAAAGGAAAAAATGGAGAAATTTGTTCAGCTCGTATTTTGGGGGCCAGGAATTGAAGAAGTTGAACTGCTGCTAATCGTACATTAGCATCTTTATCTGTAAACACAGCAGTCACTTCACTTAATATGTTTGAAAGGTGTGCATCAATTATAAATGGGTATTGAGACAAAAGATCTTTAAGTCCAAGAAGAGCACTTTGTTTAACCCCAGCATTGTAGTGATGCATCTGTGACAGCAAGTCCTATAAATAAAGATAGATTTTAGGTGTATACTTACATACATATACACACACACACACTATATCATTTTCAAATCAACATAACTAAAACTAATAAATTCATACCCCTTGGGGAAATTGTTTCAGTAAATTTCCTTTTAAAATGTTACTTAGCTTTTAAGATCAGAAATATAGTTTTAGCTTTAAAATACTTTAGTTTAACACAAAGATTACATAATTTTCCACTAGAATTTTCTCACTTTTCTATTAACCAGCATGCAGACATAAGCATCCTATCATTTAAAGTGACAGCAGTCATCACCACCTGTTTACTGAAGACCTATTATGGAATAAACATCATAGCAGATGCATTAACAGGTTATCTCTGCCTACTTTAAATAGTCTTTCACAGAGTTTTTGGAGAATACACTAGCTGACAATTTTGTCTGTGTAATAATTTACAAAACCTTGAAAAGAACATAACTTCATACACCTTTTTAGTATTATTCAACCTTCGGAACTTAGTAAGAAAAACTGAAAATGTACATCTTTCTAAAGATTTGTACACAGATGTTTACAACAGCATAATTCATAAGAGCCAAAAAGTGGAAATAAACCAAATGTCCATCAACTGATGAGGGATCAACAAAATGTGACATGCAGTGGGATACTATATAACAATACAAAGGAAAACAGTACTGCTCTGATACATGCTACCATATGAATGAACCTCAAAAACATTATGCTTTGGCACAGCCTCAGTGGCACAGCAGAATACTGATCTGCAGTGCTGGAAGCCACATAACCACCAACTTCAGGTTGAACTGATATAGACCTGGCACTAGTGCTCATGTCCCCAAGACCCTGACTAGCTGGAGACTAGGGGAAGGGGATAGCTGTTGAGCGTGTCTTGTTTCTGTAAGTTAGCTGTGGCTCTGTCTCTCCTACACGCATGCTCTCATGAAAAAAAAAAAGAAAAAAGAAAAAAATTATGCTAAGTGACAGACCTTGTATTATATGATTCCATTTATATGCAATGTCCAGAAAAGCAAATCTATAGAGACAGAAAGTTGATTAGTGGTTGCCTAGGGCTGGGAAAAAGGAATGGGGAATAAACTCCAACTGGTATAGGAGTTTTTCTAGAGTGATAAAAATGTTCAAAAGTTAGATTATGATGAAGTAGCCTAACTGTAAATATACTAAAAGCACTGAACTGGAAATCTGAATAAGTGATTCTGATTATGTATACATTATGTCTCTATAAGGCTGTTAAAAATTTTTAAGCAAAAGTACTGCTCAAATTTCAAATGACTTCAACTATTTACTATAATAAACCTGTAAGTTATGTGCTATATGGGTTCAAAAATAAGTAAAGCTAGATTTTATCTTAATCAGCTATTTATAATAGCTAGAAAATTATTCATCAAAAACTTGACACAACAGATACACTGAGAAGCTAAACATAAAATTATTTCCAGATGATATTAAGTCATCAAACAAGCATACTAAAAAGAAATCACTGTGGGTCTAGTTTAGCAAACCTTTCTGAAAAGAGTGGGAAAGAGGCAATGGCAAGATCAGATATAGGTAAACATACGAACTCCAAACACCATGTTATTAACCTTAAGACTCTAGACAGACAATTCACACTAAGAGTTAATACAACACTTCACAAAAACTTAACACTCCACGTAATTTCAAAGAAACTCATATTTTTGTTAAAACAATATTTATGATATACCTTTATGTTAAGTTTTCTATTATTTGTTGGAAGTGCTCCATCTTCTTTGAGTTGCTCAGGTAGATGAATAGTCTTTGTTTTAAAGTTTGTAGCAGTAGCATTTTCTAACTTGGGCTTCTTTTTACCAACTTTCAGTTTTACTTTTTGAAAATCATCTTGGCGTTTTCTCTTTTTGGTCATTTTCGAGTGCTACAACAAAAAGAATTTTAAAATAATGGCTAAAGACAAAGGTAAATGATAAAAGAATACTGAAGAGAGATAGCTTTTGCAATAGGGCACATCCACCAGAGACAGAAAGAGATGGCGAGAAATCACCCCCCCCCCAGGGGGAATGGCCATGCCACAATCCCTTCTTCTCTAGTCTCCTCTTGGAATCTTGGGCACACATGCCTGACCTGAGTTTTGAGCCACCAGGTCCAGGATGCAAACCAAGGTAGACTACATAGGAGTCCAGTGATGTAACCATTATGCCATCTGCTGGTCCCAATGATAAAAGAATCTTAAAAAGTATTTCCAACATTTACATCGCTCTAATGTTTATTTTAAACTTAAATCAACCGTGAATATGCCAAAGGATCAAATTACTAAATGAAAACTATTGCTACCAAGTACAAAAAAGTCCCTTTAAGTCAACAGATATCATCAAGGGAAGTCATTAGCAGTAAGGCAAGTCTTATCACTGGTTTTCCAAGGTTTTTGAGCCATGGAAGCCTTTTGTTAAGCAATGTGCTACATGGAAACTTGAGATTTATCTTTTCCTTCTTTGTATGGAGGAGAGTAACACATACTTGCTGGAGATACAATTTGCATCTGCTGGGAAGCTCCTGGCCTAGTGGCCTGAGGAAAGTCTAGCAAAACAAAGTTTGAAAACCACTATTAATTGATGCAGCCTACAGTGTTTAGAAAAAGGTTCTTCAACCTAAGTGCTTAACAGTGGGTAAGATTTAGGCAAGTGGCCAGGAGGGCGATGGGCATGTCATGTGAGCAAGGAAACACAAGGTAAACATTAGGAGTAGGGGATAAGTCAGGTATAGACAATTTGAACACTAGTGAAAGTTCAGACTAGACATGATCCAAGTACAGCAGTGGAGGGAGATAAAAAGCAGCTTAAAAGGAAATATAATGTGAACCAGCCAGGTGGCACAGAGATTAAGGGAGCTAGATCTCACAGGACCAACTCTATGGTTCGTATCCTGGAGCCAGTGGCTTGGAGGAAAAACAAAAAGGAAATACACTGTAACAGGAGGCTAATAATCAAAGACCAGCTAGACCACTTTTACAAGTAACTCAGGCATAACTACACCATCCATCTTGTACCTCCTCTCTCTACTTCACATTCTTTCAACTAACATCTAAATCTTCCTAATTAAAAACAAAACCTTTGATCTGTACTACCTACACATTTCCCTGGCCACTACTTTCAAGTCTTTTATTTCAACAGACTACTCAATAGGTCCCTGAAAGATTGGGTCACTGGAAAAATCATGACACATTTTTGCATTTAAAAAGAGGAAAAGGGGCCATCAAGTGGTGTGGTGGTGCTGGACTCCCACATGGCTGACCATGGTTCGAGTCCTGGACCTGGCAGATTGCTTTCTCACTTTCTCTCTCTGTCCTCTCTAGTCAAATTAAATAAATAGGTAAATAAAGTTAAATAAAATAATTCTTTGAAACAAAAAAAGAGAAAAAGAACAAAACAGAAAAATACATCATGATAGTTCCTTATCTCCAGTGTCTACTCCAGTCCACTGGCCAGTCACGAGAGTTCTGTCTAAACAATGTCACCAAGCTCTGAATTGTTCCTTCTCCTCCTGCACAGTAAAAACTCCTCAGCATGACATGTTATTAGGTCTTTCCTAAGGTGGCCCCATTCATCCTCTCTAGCTTTATATTCCCACAAACTAAACTCTTCCCTCCTTAAACTATACAGCTCAATGCCTTCTGAAGTCTTCCACATGCTGCAAAATTAATGAAATACACCTACTTGAGTAGGTAAGTACCTCTGGAATAAGTAAAACTTTTCCTGGTCTATCAGAATTATCCTATGACTAACTATAAAATGTCACAACTGTTGCTACGCATGGGAATACCCCCCCCAAAAAAACTGAATAAAAGGTTGCGTTATTGCCAAGTTTAATAAAATGGTGTAGGACTGAGCAGCTTAAGTACCAGCCTCAAGCTCAAGGAATACAGACACCAATGGGCTATAACACAATATCCAGATTCACTTGATTGCTAGGTTTTATTACGTTAGATCTCCATGAACTAACATTTAGTTATACATGCTATCAGCTGAGTCTGGTAGAATCAGACTGATTAGGTTCTCATCCAGGGTGTATCTTTTTATCTGTATTGAACCACTGTGCCTCAATTTCTATCTACAAAATAAGAACAGTATCTACCATGTGCAGATGATATGAGGTTAAATAAGGAGTAACTTAGTTCAGACTTGCAAAACACTTAGAACTATGCCTGGCACACTGTTAAATAAGTATGCTATAAGCACACACATACAAGTGCTTTTAAAGTCTCATATCCAGTAGCTACTGAGAACAATACAGGATGCATTACATACATTAGCATTCAATCCTCACAAAACTATGTGAGGTGGTACTAAACCCACTTTAACCTTGTGTCTCAGATTTCTAAGTCAGTCTTCTATTAAGCAACTGAAGAGGAATTCATTCACAGGACTGAGTTCTGCAAAACCAGTTTTGTTATACATACTGGAATTAATGTGGAGACTGGAAGACTGTGTGGCAAGATATTTGTCTATGTTATTCACATTCCAATAACAAGTTTTCATCTCACCCACAACAGTTATCCCAGTCTTAATAAAAAAAATAAAAAAAAAAAAGGGCAAGAAAATAACGCTAAAAAAGAAGTCCCCAATACTCACAGGGGACTTACAAAACAAAAATGTTTTTTTTAATTAAGCAAGCACTTTGTAGCTAGCTACCTGACTGGTCTCCCAAATTCAGTCTACTGTTGAGATAAGGGCATGCTATCCATCACTCAGGTTCTCCTGATAGGAAAATAAAGAAGGCTGATTGTCCTTCTTTGACTTTTGAAACTGCAAAGATTACTTTAAAGGTACACGGAGAATATTTTTATACTAAGATCTCTGAAAGTTCTAGTACCAATTTTTTTATTTTCACTTCAAGACTTTCATAGCACAGCAAATCAAGTAGTCCTACTAAGCCACTTTGATGGCAGCTAGTTACAGCCTCAGGGGCGGACCTCTCACATCACGGGTCCTCTTAGGCAGGTGAGCCCCAAATTTTTAGAACTGATTTTTCACAAATTCCTACTGCAGATTTTTTTCTACTTCCAACAAATGGCAGATCCTAGAGTATTAGGATTTTAATGGTACCCAATTCCAGCTACTTTGCTGGCCACCTCATTACTCTCGCTCATTTTCAACTTGTTCCCCTCACCAAAAGAAAAATGTAAAAAACCGAGGCGGCACACCGCACTCGGCCTCCGATCATTTCCTCTCCCACCCCTTACCCTCGGGCTCCTCCAAACTCCACCGAGGGGCCAATCAGAGGCGCTGCTAGAACATGCCCCAGGCGGGAGCGGCTGGAGGGACGGAGTGTCCGGCTCCGAGCGGTGCAGACGGCAGACCTGTGCACGCCTGAGCAGCCAGGGGACGGCCGCTCT